AGAATAGGTAACAGAAGAAACTAAACAAAATGACCAACATAAATTAACAAAGGACTACTTGTAGTTACTGATATGCCAGCTCCAGACCTCAATTAAACTGGTCGAAAAATTATGTGTTGATCATATGAAAATGACCACAATCCCTCCCGTGAAGATTGCATGTTGACTTCAAGATTTATTTCGGTTATGTTCATCGTATGGAAGCTGTCTTATTAACGTTTACCCTGCATCTTTTTTTTATTCCTGTTATATCGTATGGATGCTGTCTCATTAGCGTATACCCCACATATCTTTTTATTCCTATTATATCGATTTCAGTAAGTACAACACGTCATTTGTGAGATATGTTGTCATAAAGTCAACTGAACCAATACTTCTGGAGACCTTCATCAAGATTAGTAAACTCAACCTATGCTTATGAAGACAAAATACGCTACACGTGTTATTGTAATAAACTTCACCATGTACGCTCAACTCATACTTCTGGAGGCTAAATATGTTCCACGTGTTCTTGTAATAAACATCACGAAGTATGCTCAACCCATACTTCTGAAAGCAATATACGTTGCACGTGTTCTTATAATAAACTTCACCAAGTATTCTCGATCCATACTTATGAAGGCGAAATACGTTACACGCGTTCTTGTAATAAACGACACCAAGTACACTCAACCCATACTTATGAAGGAAATATACGTTACACGTTCTCTTGTAATAAACTTCACAAAGTATGCTCAACCCACTACTTCTGGAGGCGAAATACGTTATACGTGTTCTTCGAATTATCATCATCAAGTACACTCAAACTATACTTCTGGAGGCGAAATACGTTACACATGTTCTTCGAATAATCATCATCAAGTACACTCAACCCATATTTCTGAAGGCGAAATACGTTACACTCTCAGCGAACCAAATCCGATGAGGGCAAACACAAAAGATTTAAAACTGTTCAAGGTTAACTAAGCATTAGGGTGTATTCGTTTTGATACAACTACACAATTTATAAACTGAAAACTTACAAGTTACGAAATCAGATTGGAGAAATAACTTGCGATAGACCAAACACACGACACTTAAAAAAATGGGCTATAATGTATGCATTGTTTTAATTTTCGCCTGGATGCCTCTTACATTTGGATACATTTCTAATAGTCTTTGTTGCAGTTATTAGAAAAGAGAATGGAAACAGGGAATGTGTCAAACAAACAACAACCCGACCAAAGAACAGAAAATAGCCCAACGTCACCACCGAAGGCCGTCTTCAGCTGGCCCCTTAACAATAATGTATTTTATAAAAATAAGATGTGTTATGATTGTCAATGAGGCAACTCTCCACAAGAGACCAAATGAAATAAAAATTAACAACTATGTTAGTCTCAGTTTAAAAGAAGTTAGAGTACGATGTTAGAATAGGTAACAGAAGAAACTAAACAAAATGACCAACATAAATTAACAAAGGACTACTTGTAGTTACTGATATGCCAGCTCCAGACCTCAATTAAACTGGTCGAAAAATTATGTTTTCATCATATGAAAATGACCACAATCCCTCCCGTGAAGATTGCATGTTGACTTCAAGATTTATTTCGGTTATGTTCATCGTATGGAAGCTGTCTTATTAACGTTTACCCTGCATCTTTTTTTTATTCCTGTTATATCGTATGGATGCTGTCTCATTAGCGTATACCCCACATATCTTTTTATTCCTATTATATCGATTTCAGTAAGTACAACACGTCATTTGTGAGATATTTTGTCATAAAGTCAACTGAACCAATACTTCTGGAGACCTTCATCAAGATTAGTAAACTCAACCTATGCTTATGAAGACAAAATACGCTACACGTGTTATTGTAATAAACTTCACCATGTACGCTCAACTCATACTTCTGGAGGCTAAATATGTTCCACGTGTTCTTGTAATAAACATCACGAAGTATGCTCAACCCATACTTCTGAAAGCAAAATACGTTGCACGTGTTCTTATAATAAACTTCACCAAGTACTCTCAATCCATACTTATGAAGGCGAAATACGTTACACGCGTTCTTGTAATAAACGACACCAAGTACACTCAACCCATACTCATGAAGGAAATATACGTTACACGTTCTCTTGTAATAAACTTCACCAAGTACGCTCAGTCCATACTTCTGGAGGCGAAATAGTTAAACTTATTCTTGTAATATACTTCACAAAGTACACTCAACCCACTACTTCTGGAGGCGAAATACGTTATACGTGTTCTTCGAATTATCATCATCAAGTACACTCAAACTATACTTCTGGAGGCGAAATACGTTACACGTGTTCTTCGAATAATCATCATCAAGTACACTCAACCCATATTTCTGAAGGCGAAATACGTTACACTCACAGCGAACCAAATCCGATGAGGGCAAACACAAAAGATTTAAAACTGTTCAAGGTTAACTAAGCATTAGGGTTTATTCGTTTTGATACAACTACAATTTATAAACTGAAAACTTACAAGTTACGAAATCAGATTGGAGAAATAACTTGCGATAGACCAAACACACGACACTTGAAAAAATGGGCTATATTTTATGCATTGTTTTAATTTTCGCCTGGATGCCTCTTACATTTGGATTCTTTAGACATTTGTGTGTCTTTAAGTTAAGTTACTAACAGAAAGTGGACAAGTCAATGTTAGTTTTCGATTTTACCTTGAAATTATTGAACTCGATTTACATGTACATCATTTGTGATATTTTGTCAGTATCTATAGTTTTCACGTGGGTATTAACAATCCTCCAGCCTTGTCTCTCTGTTTAGTGTTATTTGTTTGTCTTTTCAAGTTTTGTCTGGTTGTTTTGCATCAAATGATGAATTTTCGTCGAGTATTATGATACTTCATATGGTTGTTCACACCAAAAATCCAAATAAACAAAAAAAGTGGGCAACTGCAGAATTTTAATAAATTAAGAAACAATCACCAGTCCTAACAGTTTAATTTAAGGTGCGTTCACACGATACGATTTTCCATTCGATTTATTCGATTTTAACCGATGCACCTGCTTTCGACTAAAATCGTACCGTGTGAACACTAAAATCGGAAGTCGAATGTTAAGTCGAAACGTCGTTTTGAAATCGAAACGTACGCTATTTCCATTCGACGTTTTGACTGGAATCGAATCGTGTGAACGCCAAATCGACTAAATTTTAGTCGATTGAAAAAATCAAGCAAATAATTCTAATCGACAATATTCCAATTTTCACATCATTCGTAACGTTTTTATTCGTAAAGGGAACAGTGTCATCTTTTGTTCATAAACCTGGCTATTATGCGCCCTACAGTATATGTTATGTCAAACTAGTATTAAATTACGCTAATTAAACTAGAAATTTAAGAAAATTATTTTTTTCAGATAGTGAGGTGGCCATAATACAATGTTTGTATATTTTCGCTGTAAATAAAGTTTTTTTTCCCAAAAATTATAACGAAATTATTTTTGATTAGATTTTGAAGAAATTTTTACCATTGATCTCAGACTTTATTGTAGTTTTTTACTGATAATTTTTTACCGAATTTTGAGAAAGACCATTTCCAGAGTTTTCATTATGTTTAATTTAGAAAAAGACAATTCATTATACCTGTTCGCACCTGAACTTCAATATTTTAAATTTATTTTTAAATCAATAACATTTCATTTTGATTAGAAATGTAGAACCAAACAGGAATTGTTGAGAATTTTTCAAGGAAGATGGTATTAAATCCCCCTTTTTTTAACAAACCTTTAATTATAAATTACTAGTACCTATTTGAACTTACGAATGCGAGTTCAATGCAACACGTAAGCGCGGTTGTTGACACTCATTCTCCAGACATGGCTGACATTATAGCCGTTGAAATACTAGACAATAATGAAGAACAGAAGGTATCAGAGGACTTGGATTTCATCGACCTGTACGAGAATGAACCATCTCTATGGGACGTAACGTCCCAAATGTATCATGACAAACTTGAGAGGAAAAGGGCTCTAGAGCAAATGGATGGCAAAATAAACATAGGAGAGAAATGCTTATACATATACATTGTATGTAATGAATGTAGGATAGTTGGGTAATAACGAGTCGCCAGTAACTTAATTTGCGACCATCAAATCACCAATTGATGTAGTCGGAGCTTAAAATACAATACAGTTATCTCCTAATGCAAGTGAATCTGTTTAATAGTTAAAGGGTGTGTGTCATTGTATTTACTTCTATTGAATAGATTACTGCCGGAGAGTGGTTAATATGCTCACAAAATTAGTTTTGTCTTCACATATTCATAGGAACCTGATGTTCAGTGGTTGTCGTTTGTTGATGTGGTTCATATGTGTTTCTCGTTTCTCGTTTTTTTTATATAGATTAGACCGTTAGTTTTCTTGTTTGAATGGTTTTACACTAGTAATTTTTGGGGCCTTTATAGCTTGCTGTTCGGTGTGAGCCAAGGCTCCGTGTTGAAGGCCGTACTTTGACCTATAATGGTTTACTTTTACCAAATCTGACTTGGATGGAGAGTTGTCTCATTGGCACTCATACCACATCTTCTTATATCTATTAACCAACGATTTTTGTCCATTTACAGAGTTCTTATTTCTCTTCAAATCCCATGCCTTCTTTTTCAATTGATTTGTATATTAGTAAAACAACTTTGGACAAAGTATAGCTTACTATAAATCAAAAGTACTTTTTTATTGTTTTGTCCAATAAAGATTCGTGGATATAGTTTACCGCGGCCTGTTTTAGGGTAACTACCGTTACTAGTTTTGTTGGTCGTTCCTTATTACTTTAATTATCCTTTTGTTTTTGATTATAAATTTTTTCCATTACTATGCAAACTCAAAGCATAAGAGTTGAAACCATTTCTATCCTACTAAGGTTACAAAGTCCTCCAAACATGTCTAAGTCATTAAATTGTAATGTGACCTAACACATGTTCAACACATCAATATTATGTACATGATATTTATCCGTAAAAGTATTTTCGCTTTGGTCTTTCACTTCACTGTACTTTCAATATGAACATATTCCAGAGTTGTCGATTTGTTATGGTATGTTTTGGTTTGACTGCTATGATCCAAGCCAAAAGTACATGTAAGTAAATCACATACTCACATCACGTATAATAGTAATCTACTATCTTTGCTTCCCAAATGTTTAACTATGTATACCAGTAATATATATATATATATATATATATATATATATATATATAAAAGTCTAAATTGAAAACAACGTTCAGACCTATGATTGCGTTGGATGAAAACCGCAATTTTTAAACGTGTGCATGTAAAACAAATTTCTTGGTAGAGGGGTCTAAATACAGCACAAACAACAATTTCCAAAAGACCAAAAAAAGTGAAAAAGTCTATTTTAACAAAACGCATTTGACTAACAGGTCGAACAACTGATGTTCTTAAACCCTGCTGACTGCCATTGGCGATTGCCAAATAAATTGATCACCAGATCTAACGAAATGGATCTTAATATTAATTCAATATCAAACAGAAAACAATAAACGTGTGGAAAAGATGGTATACCACAAACATGAGGTGCAAAAATTTGTACACCATATATATATATATATATATATATATATATATATATGAGTATTTGGACCATATGCGTATGGCCATGACCGTTTCCGTATACGTGTATGGTCGGACCATATAAGTATATAGACCGTATAGGTACTTTTTTTCGAAAACGCATGAGAAACATTTCGTTTCGCCAAGGCCACACCACGGGGAGGCGTTTGTTGTCGTGGCTCATTACTTTAACCAAACTTTACAAATCAAAATACCAACATATCAAGAATGCTAACACGAACATTTATTTATTACAATTTAAGAATAAAAAAATATGATAAATAGTGATGATAAAGTCATTTTTAATCTCTAGTTGCCTTTCTGCATGGTTATGCATGGTCCTCCACTGTAGTCACACCTTTTGCTTGCAAGTGAAAAAAAACAAGCGTTCTTATCAGCTGCGTTCTGTGACGCTGAAGTTGTTAGACATGCGGAATATGTCTACGCGCTTTTTTTTTTTATTAATAAGTAGTACGTAGTCTACCATATCGTAAGATGACTGCAGTATACCATACTCACATACCAAATTACGTAAATTATGGCAACCTGTCAACTTTTTCGTCCGAAAATAATACTGTTACTTTACATTTTTGAAGCCAATTGAGTTAAGTTTGCACGAAATGAAAAAAAAAAAAAAGAAATCGGACACTCTAGTCCGTATTCATGGTATTTGTTTACCCAAAGTTTAATGTGAAAGAGTCTGTTACGGGCCGTATTTTTCGTTTTGCTGATAGATAATCATCTCCGATGAGAAAACTTTGGGATCAAAATTATACTATACTATATATATAGTTATTAAAGTTGTCGTTTTAACTTAAGGATGAAAAGTATTAGTGTATTGAAAAAACTTATAAGAGGCAAAACATTACCCAAGTAAAAATATAATGTATCTTTGGTAAGAAAACAAATATAGTCAAAACAACATATAAAAAATATCATTTCAGTATGGTACATGCATCTTTATTGGAACAATTTTAATTGCCGTTAAATATGCAGTTTTCTAATATTTCATGTCACTGTTCTGCATTGAATGTTCGTGAGCTTGTTATACAATGCGCCTCTATTCTGCAGAAAACAATGGTTACATACATTCGAAATACGTCGGGTTTCCGATGATATAGACGCATCACACCATTTGACAAGGTACTGAATTCCCTGCTGTTTTGTTTACAACGAAATTGCTATTGTTGCAAATTATTAAATATCTATATTTGCCATGAACACAATATGCAATATGGCGCTTACCCATTTTAAAAGATGCTATTTTATAGTATGAAACAATAACAGTAAAGGATACTTGTTAAAAATTGATAGCAAAGAAACCGTTTTGATGTCGATAATTACCTTTATAACCAATAATATAAATAAGAAGATAGTTCGTTTTAAACTTTACTTTAACTTACTATGTTTACACGAATTTTGACCTCAGCATAAAAGTTAATATCCTATTTCTTTTTGATTTACAGATGTGGCTTTTTATGCAACTTTAACAAAAAATCAATTTCTAAGAGGTACAAAAACAGTGGTATATGATAACGTGTACACCAATCTAGGCTCTAGTTATAACAACATTGATGGTACATTTACAGCTCCAGAAAAAGGACTTTATTATTTAACTGCAACTTTGATGTCATTGCACACCAAGGACTTGCATATTTTCATGATGAAAAATAAGAATGTAATTGGTTATGGTCATGGTGCACGAGGAGGAGCTGAAATGGGTTCAGTAAACGCTGTTATTGAATTAGGAAAAGGAGATGTTGTTAAAATGGTCCATGATGCAAGACAAGGTGATCAAACAATATATGGGGAAGGCTTCTGCTCATTTGCTGGCTATCTCATCACCAACTTGTCGTCGGACAGAAATTCAGCGGAATACGTTGAAATACATCTGAAGTCTAAACTTAAATAAAATATGTTTTTCTTTTCTAATTCTTTTTCAAACAATTTCAAGTATACTTTTTTGATTTAAAGTGAACTTGAAAAATAAATTAATCGATCAGGTTTTGAATTACTTACTATTGATTTGACAAGTTAATAAAAACCTTTATCCATTAAAGAGATACTATGGATTTCACTCAAGAAAAGTCTCTGTTATTCATCATGAAACGTTAATCATAATCAGATTTTAAAATGTCTTCTGTCAGATAAATTATATATACATTGTCGGTACTAGTTGTAAAAAACTAAAAAAAGTACTGCTGGGCACTTGAGAATATACAGGATTCGTATTATCCAATTTTCGTACGATTTCTATATTTTATGGAGTATGTCGGAAATGAAATTATATTGGGTGATTGTACATGAAACAATAATGCCATGAAAGACCAGTAAATAACTATTATATTAAAGGAAGAACGAATTTGTTGCTTTTCTCCCTTTTGTGTTTTTGTCCTTTCAGGTTTGTTTAAACATTAGTTTTGGTTTTCTATCCCCTCCTATCCTGGATTTCTAATGATAAAATCGCAACTTTGCTATCTTCGAGATCTATTCACGTGGCATTGACATTGGTACATAATTATATATATTATATAAAGTAATAATTAACTTCGCGATACAAATCAAACCAAAACGTATCGACTCTGTATCGTTCAAATTGTTATTTTTGGATTAACCTTTGTCAAGTCCGCTTGGACCAGAATGTTGAAAAGCCACAAGTGTATAAAAATGTGAAAATCAACATAAACAAAAGAGATATAAGTTGCTTACATCCAAGTAGCTTGGACTCTGGTGGATAATTGTGATATTGGCCATCTCCTTATTAGAAAAAAAAAAAATAATAGCGAAAACTTTCAAAGTCACCTGTACCTCTGGAGTGTCTGTAAAATGTAACAATTATCAGGCGAGGATTTAATTGAAAAAGACTATGGTGAATTTATTTAATCACATACACTATTTTGCTATATAGATGATGTTCTCTCCCTTAGTAATTTAAATTGGGTGATTACGTTGAATGCATCTATTCCTTCAGCTTCCCAATTATGAACTTTCAATTTCTATGTAGCAACATTCCAGCAGCGCCTGCATACAAAGTATATATCTCCGAATTGATACAATAATCCAGGGCTTGTATTTCCTATCATGATTTCCTTGATAGAGGGTTGCTGCTCACAAGGAAACTATAAACTTTACGGACGCCATCACGAGTTGGTTGATCGTTATAGAATATCTGTTTCACAGATGACGACGGATATGTTCCAATTGTCGCAACTACAATCCTGTCCCCTTTTACCCGAATGTGACCCACCGAATCAGACATATCACCGGGTTTGTACTTAAATGAGTAACACGACGGGTGCCACATGTAGAGCAGGATCTGCTTACCCTCCCGAAACACCTGAGATCACTCCAGTTTTTGGTGGGGTTCGTGGTGCTCAGTCTTTAGTTTTCTGTGTTGTGTTTTGTGTACTGTTGTTTGTTTGTCTGTTTGTTTTTTTCTTTTATTAGCCATGGTCAGTTTATTTTCGACTTATGAGTATGAATATCCCTTTGGTATCTTTCGCCTCTCGTTTACAACTTCCATAAGTCTCATTTCCTTGTCCTAAAGAAATGCCTATACCAAGTCAGGAATATGACAGTTGTTTTCCATTCGTTTTATGTGTTTGAGCTTTTGATTTTGCCATTAGATAAAGGACTCTCCGTTATGAATTTTCATTGGAGTCGGTATTTTTGTTGTTTTACTTTTTGCTAGACACTATGCCATGTTTTGTTTCTTTGGATACGGAGTTTATCAGTCCCAGGCAATGAAATCGCAACATTCAGTACTTTGATAGAAAGGTTTGAATTATAACATAGTTAATTCATGGACTTTTATTGATGTTTGTACATATATGTAGAAGCATATTCCGTTTTATTAAACTGCATATATAGGACGAAAGAATAGAAACTATATAGTCAATTCACTTGTATGGTATTAATGGACATTATCAGTGTATTTAAGGCAACAATGCAATCTAGTAAAATGTATCTTATCAATTTTCTTCAAATTCCAATTTTCGTACCGAACTCAACCATCAAAGCCAGCATCGTCACTGGTACTGACCGCCCGAACCAATAGAATAAGTCTCGTGCCTTTTGATTCTGGTATGACAATTTCTCCAAGCTAGTTGCAGCTGTGATCTCATACTTTGTAGTACAAACGGTAATATGTTTTGTGCATAGCATTTTATTAATATATGCAATAAAGACAACAGTAGTATACCGCTGTTCAATAGTCATAATTCGATTAAACAAAAACAAATCCGGGTAACAAACTAAACCCGAGGGAAACATATCAACTATTAGAGGAAAACAACGGAACAACAGAATCACTGAATTACAACAAAAGCAAACGCCAACATACATGAAAAGGGACTGTAGTTAACAACTGCCATATTCCTGACTTTGTACAGGACATTTTAAGAAAATATGGTGGGTTGAACCTGGTTTAATGGCTAGCCAAACCTCCCGCTTATATGGCAATGTTAAAAATACCGCTAAAATGACAACACTACGTGACAGGAATACAGTACAAACAAACGCAAGAACACTCAGCACAGAGAAATACATAAATACATAATATAATAGTACTTTACAACATGTAAACCGCTGAATAACAACGGACACCTCCCATGAATTTACGACAACACACCAGGACATCACAAACGAAATATAAACGGCGCGTCACATGAATGGATCAACGTCACAACCCTGTTCGGTAACCAGTGAAAATGCCTCACTTACCATAAATGCGGTGTCATGTTTTCAATAATGTTATTTTAGAATCCTGATCCCAAAACACTTTTCTTTGTGATGCTTATTCATGAAGAGTAGGCGATGTCTTCGGAAATTTATTTAGAGAAAAAGGTTGGTATCAATTGACCACGATCAATAATTTCTCACAATCTTTAGTATTTTGATTGTGTTCATGTTTTTATGAAAGCGTAATACTATGATGTATTAATATTTATATTTCCCTATCGTAAATGCAAAGAGGGATAATTCAAACGTGCATTGATACATCATTTATATGATAAACAGTTCAGATTTTTTTTTAAATTTTGGCCTGCATTTAGTATATCATACCAATTAATGAGATCATAGTGTGACTTTCAAAAAATATTACTCACAACATAAAGGTCTGATTCTATGGGATGAAATTTATTAATTGTTTCTGTTGTTGATGCTCAGATACGATGTGTTTCATATAGCTGTGTTTTCGTCATCTCCAATAGTGATGCTATTTTGTCAGTTACATTTGCCTTTTTTCTTGGACTTATTTTCATCATATAAGCAGTAGCTTTTGTCATTTCACTGATTGTGACAACACGGGGTATGTAAAATAATAATAACAAACACCACTCGTGTAACCCCATCATATATTAATGTTGCTGTCCATCCTTTTTAAGTGGTAGTGGCTATATGGCTTCTTCGTGTTTTTTTTCTCATGTTTTATTTAATATTTCCTTTTTATAACAATAACGGTTTTCTATTGATTTAATTAAAAAAAAATTAGAAGACATAATTTAACAAGCACGATAAAGTTTTTCAATTTGATAAATCCTTACAATTTCTGTTTATTACAATGGACCATATACCAAAGTTTAACCTGTGAACAGGAGAGACACATTAAACTAAAGATCCTAGTAAAGCAAAATTATATCAATGAATCTTGAAACATTTAGTAATTTACCCATTGTTTGTTTGGTAAAGTTTGTTTTTTCTTCAATGTAATGAAGCATTAAAAACAAATGAAACTATTATCTACTAGTAAAGTTTTTAAGCTATCTTTGTATTTTTTGCAGCAAACAAGTCGTGGGAACCCTGCTTTCGATATACTATAATTGATTTTCTCAATTAAACAATTCTGATTACAAGGAAAGGCTGACGTCTGACAGAAAGCAGATGGCCTTGACAATTATAAAAGAACTAACTCTAATATGATTGCATGCTTCGAATGAATTCTACACCGGGAAAATGTTAGTACCATTACACCAATTGACAAGCAAACACAATTTATAACTAGCCTATCTGATAATTTGAATCTGAACCATCTCGGATAGGTAAAGTTCAGATATTTTTTTTTTAATTATCTACACTACTTGTACTTTAAAAGGTTTTACTTTAAAACTGACTTCACATTTACGCAATCTGTTAATCCAGTAACACTGCAATGGCTTTAAGAAAATGCATGTTTGTATTGAGCATTCAAGTGTTTGTTGCAGTTATGTGTTCTTCAATGTCGATTCAGAATCAGAACTTAACAGTAGACGAAACACAGAATGAACGCATAGAACACATGGAACATGTGATTAAGACTTTGGAAAATAGAATAGAAATCTTAAATAATACAATGTCTAAAGGTAAGAAGATATCTTTCCATTAAAAACAGTGTCTAAATGTTCCTCAGATTTTATTCATTACTTTGATTTGTCTTCTTAATCGATTAATGAGATTTCAACATCGGTAAGCCATGTTGATTATATTTACAATTATTATATGACTATAAATTTTCTGTCTTCTCATTGGCGAAAAGCATAGGAAATCCTCCTTGATAAAACATTATATTTACCGATTGCAAAATGCTGTTTCAGCTATACAAATTCTTTAATACCAAAATACAAAGCACAAAAAGTAATTCACAAGTTACAACCCTAAATATGAATGCTCGCAGGTACTGAAAGCAATCTTAAAGTTCTTTGTTGAAGCTAATTCAATGGAAACGTTTCGCCCAGGTTGCAGAAAGGTCCCTCTTTATACTCTACAATGGTCAGTCACTTGTACTAACTCCAGACTTAAGGTTACGTTAACAATTCTCAACGTTATCTAGTGGACTAATGTTAATATGAAGTTGAATCATGACATAACAGTTATTTTTATACATTCGAAATTTATTGTGAAAATACAAGCACGGGAAGCAGGTGTGGGGGCCAGACCGTAACCCTTGGATATTGAAGATGAAATATTCTAACATGTTTAAAAACTTATAAACATGATGATAATCTACCAGATCTCAAAGTGTTTA